AGGGTTAGAGGGAGAAGCAGACTCCCCGCCGAGCAGGGAGCCCCATGTGGGACTCGATCCCGGGACTCCGGGATCATGACCTGAGCCGAAGGCAGTCGCTTAACCAACTGAGCCACCCAGGCGCCCAGAAGACCTAGTTTCTGCCAAGGGATTCTTCACCGTGCAAAGTGTTTTTCCGCGTGCAGGGGCAGAGTTGGAGATAGCAATAAGGTGGCCTGTCCTCTGGTTCTCGTCACAGAGAAGAGCACTCTCTCTGCTCTCAGCCACTTCCTCCATCTCTCACCACCCCATACTTTTCTCCAGTGCAGTCTGGGCCCAGGGCTTCCCAGGGCAAAAGGGGAGTTCTTGGCAGGAGGCCAGAGGATCAAGAAGTTTGGTGTCCTCCCAGTTTCTCCTAGCCTGCTGTATGGAGATGGAAGGCACCTCCGGTGAATTGAGAGCTTTTATAACGCATCACACCACATGAAGCCCTTCACTTAACATTTTTGCTTCTCATTCCCCAAATGGAGAGAAGACAAGTATTATCACCCCCCATTTTTTGCAGGCTCATAGACTTTCAGAGAGTTGTAAGGTTACATAGCAGAGCCAGGATTTGAATCCAGCCCAGACTGATTGCAAACTCCATGCTTTCCTGGAGCAGAGCAGCTCCAGAAATGGAAGCAGCTGGAGCGGCCTGGAAGCCGTGGGAGCAGGAGCAGAACGTGCCGGCAGAGGCTCCCATCTCCCAGCCAGAGCCCTAAGCCCTTCAATTAACTGTCCCTCTAATCCCAGTAGAAGCCTGGGTAATGCCTCCCACCCAGGATCTGTGTGAAACCTGGCCCTATTTAGGGATTAGGTGATGGAGATACATCTCAAAAGCAAACGGCACTTGTCCCCATTCATTTGCAGCACACAACAATCCAGATTAAGTGTATAGTGTTTGGGTTTTATTTGGAGATTAGTTGGTATTACAGATGATGGTGATACAAAAACCCAAGGTTGCCAGCTCGCACGCCCCCACCCCCCCGCTAAATCTGTCAGGTTGTCTCCACAGCCTCAGGTCAGAGGGCAGCCGATCTGATCTTTGTGAAAATTAAATGAACATAAGCCCTGGGCTCCTCTTTCTACTTTATTACTTTAATATCACTTCCTCTTCAGATCCATGGTTCCAATTAATTTGTCCAGGTGGTGGCAGGTCAGAAGAGGGGGCCCTGGTTCCCAGCAGGCTGGAATTCGTTTCAGTGCTCTCCTCACCGAACTCACCTAGCAGCTAGCTAATGGCCTGAAAGTGAGGGGCGGCTGCCCGTTCTTTGGAGGGAGGAGGTGTTGTCAGCCGGGGTGAGAAGAATTGAGGGCCAGGCCTGGCTCCAGAGAGGTGGACAACCCGGCCCTTACCCATCTCTCTGAAGGTACCTCCTGCCATGGTGATGGGCGTAGGCTCCAGGAGGGGCAGGGCGCTGTGTAGCAGGAGCCAGGCCCTGGGGACTCTGGGCCGGCCTGGAGGACAGTGGGAGGGAGGGATGCCTCAGCTAACCTTCCTTCTGATAAGAGAATTCCCTTGTGTAACAGGTGGGGTGGGGGATCCACTTCTGATGTCTTTAGTCCTAAGGGGCAGGGTGGGCCGCAGAGCCAGAGGAGCGGTCTCCCAAGTTTTAGGCTTCGATTAGGAATGGTCCAGGTTGGTGACGATGGCGGAGGCATAGATGAGGTCAGATAAGCTGCCCAGTGAGGTCTGGGGAGTGGCTCGCTCTGAAGAAAGGTGGACCCCTGAAGCCCCAGCTGGTCCCCATGGGGCTACAGCTTTAGCCCCTGCCCAGCCCTGCCCTGGACTCAAGCCAGGAGCTGGGCAGGAGGCATGTCGACTCATTGAGGCACACTGAGGTGTGCTGTTGGAGGGCGGAAGCTGGCCTAGTGTTCGGGGCTCCCGGGCCTGCTGGAGGGTGTCTGGAAGAGATCGGGCTCTCTGGGTGTGCTCGGGCCTGGGGCTTAGGCCTCCTGCCTTCCTATTCTTGATTCTCTTGGCCCGGCGGTTCTGGAACCACACCTGATAAGAGAAAAAGGAATCTCTTCTGGCTCCAGCTCCCCCTTCCCCAGCTACAGGGAAAGCAAAACCTGGAGGCGGGATACCCAGAAAAAAGGGACTGTGCGAGAGTACCCCCACCCTGAGAGGGGGTCACTGCTCACCTGTATCTTGGCCTCAGGAAGGCAGGTGACCCGAGCCAGGTGCTCACGGGTGCCGATGTCGGGGTAGGGCCGTGCTGCAAATGCCCGCTCCAGCTCCAACAGCTGCCCCCTGCTGAAGGTGGTCCGCTTTCTCCGGGGGGAACCCAACCCACTGGCATGGCCTGCGGGCCAGAGTAGGAGTCAAGCCAGTACTCCCTGCAAGAGCCTCCATCCCAGCCTCAAAACTCCCAGCCGACTCTCTGCTCCCTCGCTTCCACCTTCCCCACATTCTCCCCCTGCCCACCCTTTCCCCACCAGATCACCTGGTGAGGATGCATCCACAGGGCTGGCCATGGAGCTGGCGGAGAATGAGGAGCCAGAGGGCCATGCCAAGGCTGTGCCTGCACCACACCCCTCCTCCTGGCATTTTATCCTGCTCAGAGGGTTGGCCCCGCCTCCAGGAGGGGAGAGGTTTCATGTCCAGCTTGAGGGGAGCGGAGCCGTCCCAGAGGAAGGAGGGGAGGCCAGGGGCAGTGTTGGGGCTTGTGTGGGTATGGGTGGAGCAAAACTTCTGTGGCCCCTGCTCCTCCGGGGCTTCATAAAGGAAGCCGGTCCGAGCCCTGCGGACTCCAGCAGTCTGTGTCTGTGTCTGTGTCTGAAATCCTGTATTTTGTGAAAATCTTCCTAGGACTCCTTCCAGGAAGCCGAAAAAATCCCTCTCTCTAGTGCTCCCAGTGCTTCACCTGCCCCTTCTGGAGCCCTCAGTGCCCTGGCGCTGGCTACCTTTAAGGGAGAGTGGGTGGAGTCCTATGCCACAACCGAAGGCTGGGCAGGATGAGGATGACAGGGATGGCAGGTGATGACAGGGATGACAGGGATAGCAGGTGAACTGCAGCCACCCCGCCCTCAGCAGGGCTGGGGAGCAGATGTCACTACCAGCTTGCCCTCAGGTCTGCTTTAGAGACTCGTCTGCATCCAACCCTTTGAAAGCCCAAATGGGCTTCTTGGAGTCCAGGAACCTAGAACCAGAGGAGGTTCCACAGGTACAATCAAGGCATTCTAAGAAAGATGTTTGTATTTGCAGAGTATCATCCTTGTAAGTCTTTGGAGCCACTTTTCTAAGAGAAGTGGGTGCGTTTGAATTTCTTTTGTGTTCTTGCCCTTCCCTCTCCTCTAACTTTCAGTATCGCACACCCCAGACCCAAGACAGAGTCCTCAAAGAAAGGCTCATCCTAGGGGTGGGTTTGGGGGAGCACACCAGTTCCCTAGGCTAACCACATTGCAGGCTCAGGATGGGCAGGAAAGCTAAGCCAGAAGCCTACCTCCCTCTGCCCCTTCTCTCTCCTCCAAGACCCTAGTCAACTCCAAGAGGCAAAGCAAGCCCAGGGCTAGGAGGGGCACTTGGTAGCTCCTGTCATCATCAGTGGGGTTCAAGCTCCTGCTAATGTTGGTAGGTTGGTAGGGGCTGCTTAGTTCAGGAGGAAGGCTAGCATTCATGAGGCCCTCCTCAGCCCAGAGCTTTTTGGGTTCATGGAGAGGGCCTGAACTCAATGTGGACTGGACACAAGGTGGCTCTCCTCCCCCAAGACATTGTGACGGCCCAGCCTCCCTTCCTTTCCCCAGGCAGATCCCTGTCTCCTGCCTGTTCACCCCAGTCAGGACAGTAGTCTTAAACTCAGGGTCAAGGGATCTTTATTGGGCTGGGAGGAAGAGGTTGAGGAAGGAGCAGTGGAGGGCCCAGCTGTGTGGGCTCAGATTCCTACTGGTGGCCAGGGGCTGAGCAGCCCAGCCAGTACTGGGCGATGGAGCGTGGGTAAGGAGGGCTCACAGTGTCCACTCGCCGTGTACGAAGGTTGACTCGGTAGTACTTGTCTGGAAGAGAGGTCGGGAGAGGGTGTGTGAGACCCAGCCTGGCCCTGCCCAGTCCTGCCCTGAGAAAGAAGACATGGGTCTCTCCTGGAAGGGTAAGTGAACATCCAAAATGCAGCTAAGGACTCCCACCCTGGCTTTCTGGAGTCAGCACCCAAGGGCCATGTTCAGCCCATGGGGGACCAGGGACAGCAGGGAAGACCCAGCTAGACAAGCTCCAAGGATGGCAGAGGCTCCCACCTTGTGAGAAGAAGTAGACACTTTGGATGGGCTCGCAGGCGGCAGGCACAAGCCAGTCCATGTCGTAGTCATCATAGTTGTAGGTGCCCAGGCTGCTCTCCTCACTGGAGAACCAGGACAGCCAGGTTGAACGGGATTGCCGCTTAGGGTTCTGGCTGCGGCTTCGGCCACGGTGACGGTTACGGCGTGAACGGTAGCGCTTACGGCTACGCCACTTAGACTTGGGCTTCTTGGCCCAGGATCGGGGAGCTGAGCCCGAGATGTAGATGCGGCCGGCCATGGCCGCATCCACCTGCGTGGGCACACCAAGCCAGTCCTGGCTGATGAACCGGAGCTGTCCAGCACCACCTGTGGCAGGGGATGGGTTAATGAGAACCCTGGGGGCCTGTAGAGTTCATCTGGTGCCCAACAGTGGGCTGTGTGCCTTGCCCAAGGACACCGCAAGCTCATGGCAGAGCACAGCACCCGGGCCCTCTGACTCCCTGTTCAGTGCTCTTTCTCCTGGCCTTCCTCCACTACAGCCCTCCCCACTTGCCTCAGCCACGGTTACTCCTCCTGCTGGCTATGCCCTTGGCTGTGCTAGGCAAAGTCCAACGTGTGGGGTCCAGGTGGACCTCCCCCCAAAGGTCAACAGAAACAAAGTCTGGCCTGAGCAAACAGCTTTTGATCCATAGCTCTGCAATCACAGCCCCCTCTGGCCTGCTGTGCCCTGCCCCTCCCCAGAGGGTCCCAGGAAGAGAAAGCGAGACTTGCCCTCCCTCCATACCAGAGGGTCTGCTCCGGAAGAGAAGCTCGAAGAGGGTCTCCCAGCTGTCCCTCTGCAGCAGGGCAAAGTGTTCAAACACGGCAGACAGGGAGCTGCCTTCACACTCCTCCTGACGGGGTTGCTGCTGGAACTCGTACTCCCAGTACTGTCTCCCTGAGCGGGGAAGCCGGTGGGGGGAGTGGAGGGGGGGAACGTGTGAGCAAGGCTGGAAAGCCAGCCCCAAGGCTGCTGAAGATAGGAGCTCCTGGCAGGGGGCAAGCCTAGTTTGACCCTGCCCCTAGAGGAGTGTGGAGGCAAACCGAGACCACCCCACTGCCTGCTCTTTCTCGCACCCACTCCCTTAGTACCCTTAAAGAAGTAGACCCGCTCCCGGCCACTGTAGCTATGAGCAGGGAGAGCCAAGGCTGCATCCACGTTGTCCGGAATGCCCTTGAAGCCTTCAGAGATGTTGCGGGGGAAATCTGGGTCCAGGACACCATCCTCGAAGCGCCAGTACTGATTACCCTAAGGGGTAGAGAAGGAGGAGGGAGTGAGGAGGAAGCTGGCTGGGCACAGGCAGAGTCCCCCACCCAAGGCAGCAGTCCCAATTCTAGGCTTGTCGCCCGGGACATGGAGCCCTGGGCTTGCCTGTCCTCAAGAGCCCCAGTCAGGGACCACAGGCTGGGATTCACCCTAGTCCTGGGCACAGCAGCCCTCCACCCCTGCCTAGACACCCTTGACCCTGACCCACAGCCCCTGGGCCCGGTACCTTGAAGAGGTAGGTCTTTCCCTGACAGTTGATGCGAGTGAAGGCAGCATCAATGGGGCCCTCAATGCCCCAGACATCTTGGATAAGCTTGGGGTACCCAGGCCTCACTCCCTCTTCATCCAGCTCATAACAGTACCGCCCTAGAGTGCGGGAGGCTGTGTGAAGGAGGGGATGTTCCAGGGGCAGACCCCTACCCCCAAGACGTGCCCCTGGAGTCACCTCGGAAGGCAAAGAGGGAGCCATTCTTGAGGTCAGTGAAGGCGTCAAAGGGCTTCCCACTGCATAGCTCCTCCTTTGCTGGGGACTCAGGGATGTCTTCGGCATGGGTCTCAGGCTCTGAGGTCTCCTGGGCAGGAGACTCCTCACGCTGGGTCTGCAGGCCAGGGCTCAGCATGGTGCTCTCCTGCTGTGTGAGGACACTCCCTCTCGACCCCTCGGGGTAGTCAGTGGCCCCGTACTCATCTTCTGGCAGAGTGAATACATCCCCACGAGTCACTGCGGGCAGAGTGGGTGGTGGTGAGTGTCCAGCTTCAGAGGGGACCCCTGGCCCAGCCAGCCCCTCCGGACGCACCTTGGGGCTTGCACTCGGTCACATAGTCCTCGCAGCAGCTCTGGTAGTAAGAGCAGAGCTCGTCACACTGACACTTCCTGTCGGCGTTGAAGCCCTCTGTACAGCGGCCCATGCAGGACTCTGTGGGGAGGAGGTGTTAGTTGGCATGGCTAAGCCCGGACCACCCTTGCCCACCCTCCATTGGCCCGAACAGCCGCCAATCCCCTCTTGCACCTTGGTCAGCCAGAACAACGCAGGCCAGCAGGGCTAGCAGCAGCAGGGGCCTTGGGGAGGCCATGGCAGGCCCCTAGCTTCTAGCCAGGTGAGCTGGGCTCTGTGCTCTTGGAGGGAGGTCTCCACTTCGATGCTTGAGGAAGGGAGGGCGAGGTGGGGACTGGGAGGGCAGGAGCCAGAGAAAAAGAGCTGTGCCTTTTCTGCTGTTTGCTCAATCTCTGGCCCAGCCCCCAGTGCCCTGGGCCCCAGAGGCTGCTGCAGCAAAGGGTCACATTCCTGGAACTCCGGGCCTGGGAGAACTGTGAACAGGATCCTTGCCAAGCCTCGTGTCATAACAGAAGGGAAACAGCACAGTGGATCTGGAGGACATAAAGAAGGCCCACTGTGCCACTCACAGGCTGTGTGACCTTGGGCAAATGGTTTTACCTGCCCTGGCTTTCTTTTTGGTTAAGTGAGATTAATAATTCTTGCCTCCTGTTGTGGTGGGGGTTACACAAGCTAAAGCAGACGAAATGCCCAGTGCCTGGAGCAGCGCCAGCTTCATTCTCCATAAATGGTTATTTATCTGTGATCTGTTTGATCAGGCACATCTCTGACTGTCTCACCCACCCACTGTGTATTTAGGGCAGTGAAAGGAGGGGGGGGGTTGGAGGAATGCTGGTAAGCATCCTGGGGGAATTTTTTTTTTATCATAAAAAAACAGATTTTCGTGTTTAGGTTCAACTTTTGGGTGCATTGATTTCCCCAAGCTGGGCTTCACAGCACAGCAAAATTGGGTGAATATTAACCATTTGGACTGGATTTGATTCCTTAGTCTCCCCATATTTCACTGCTCCTTGGTAGGCACTGCTCTGTCTCCACCTTCAGACTTCCTATGGGTAAAGAATAGCATCATTCCTCACACTTTTAGACTAAGTAGCATCCCTCTTTCCAGAAAATACCCTTGGCACAGAAGGCCTGATTTTGTGCCCACTGTCAGGGGTCCATTGGGCCTCCTGAAATCCTGCCACCACCTGGAAAAAAATGATTGTCAGAGTTTCCAACTGACTTTTTCAGTTCCATAATCAGAGAGGGGTGTGTGACTTTGGGCAGTCTCTTTTCTGTGAGCTTCAGTCAGTTTGGCTGTTAAATGGGAACACTAATCCCTACCCTTTAGGCCTGTCGCAAGGCTTCATTGAGAAACAGGCATAAAGGGTCTCGAGAGTTGTACCGAATCGGTACCATGATTGCTTGAACCACTGTTAGGGGAGGGGGCACGCTCCACGGTGTTGCCGTCACGTTGCAGTGTCACAGGGTTTGCGGGGAAACCGAGGCAGTCCTCCCGCTCTGCACCCTCTCCCCCTAGTCGCCACCCCCACCCCACCGCAGGGCGTGGGCGTGGCTGTGGCTGGGTTAAGCCTGGGGGTGAGGCTACTCCGGAGGCCGGGGAAGAGTCCCACGTGACCGAGAGGCGGGGTGTCAGCTCCCCGGCTGCGGCTTCTCAGGGGCGGGGCTGCTGCAGAGCATCTCCTAGCTGGAGCCGCGCTTTGTTCTTGCTGCCTTCTAGACCCGCCGGCGTCAGGGTCCATCCCTCGCTCCCCTCTCGCTCCTCCCGCCCACGCCCTGCATCTGGGCCCGCATCCCTTCACCCAAAAGCTCCGTGCCAGATCCTGCCCTCGCCCCTCCCCCAGATTTCTGGCCAGCGCCCTTGCCTGGTAGGTAGCCTTCTATCCATCCCTCCCTCCTGCACCTTCTTTTCCCTGGATCCCTCTCCTGTCCCCCTTTCCCCAAGTGCCGGGTCGCTCCGCCCCTCCGGACCGGGGATGTCCCCCGCAGCCCCGCGCCGATGGTCCTGACGCTGCTTCTCTACGCCTACAAGCTGTGCCGCTTCTTCACCATGTCGGGCCCACGGCCAGGCGGTGAGCGGCTAGCTGTGCCGGGGCCGGACGGGGGCGGCGGCGCGGGCCCATGGTGGACCGCGGGCGGCCGCGGGCCCTGCGAGGTGTCGCCCGGGGCGGGCTCCGAGGTGCAGGGTGCCCTGGAGCGCGCGCTGCCCGAGCTGCAACAGGCGCTGTCGGCGCTGAAGCAGGCGGGGGGGGCGCGGGCCGTGGGCGCCGGCCTGGCCGAGGTCTTCCAGCTGGTGGAGGAGGCCTGGCTGCTTCCGGCCGTGGGCCGAGAGGTAGCCCAGGGTCTGTGCGACGCCATCCGCCTGGACGGCGGCCTCGACCTGCTGCTGCGACTGCTGCAGGCGCAGGAGCTGGAGACGCGCGTGCAGGCCGCCCGCCTGCTGGAGCAGATCCTGGTGGCTGAGAACCGGTGAGGGTGCTCACGGGCTGAGGGGAGAGCGCGGGGTGCTGTGGGGCAGCAAGGGCCGTCCACGGCCCGGGTCTCTGGTGCGACTTTTCCCGCCTCACCTCACCGCATCCCTGTACTAGACCCCTGCTGGGGATCAGCGTGTCTATTTTACAAATGAGGAAAATGAGGCTTGGGAAAGTTTCATGCCTTGCCCGGAGTCACAACACAGTGTGAACTGATGGTGCAGCCGGGATTCACTCCCAGGACTGTTGGGGTGAGGAATGAGACAGGGACAGGAAGAACGGAGTGGTAGGACAGGAATTTGTCCCTGGTTCCGAGGATGGAGCTGGGATCCTGCTGCCAATGCCCCCTAAACCCACAGACCTCCTCTCTACAGGCCCGTGCCCTTCTAGGCTTCCTTCTGTGCCACTGAGAAAAGAAGAAAACACAATGCTCGGGAAATGGGGTAGGAGGAGGGGCAATGGTTATGGAAGTGAGTACTGATCTGAGGGTTACTTGCCCCCTTTATGCCACCCCCAATCCACCTCCTGCTTCCTCCTTCATTTTGGCCCTCGTAACAGGCCAGACATGATCTCATTCTGCGGCTGCTAATGGGGCACAGAAGGTTTTCTAGTGGGATGAATGGGTGAGAGAAGAGGACACAGGTGAGGAGCTAGGCAGAGGCCAGAGTATGTGTTCTCTGTCCCTTCCCCACAGAGGGCCAAGATACAGTAGGGGGGTCCAGTTGGGGTCTGGCTGCCCCTCTCTTGCCTGCCTCTTGGGATCTCCCCTGGAATATGAGGACCCTTGCACTCACTTCCTCTCCCCTCTGATGCCAGAGCAGACCAAACTGTCACTCAGTAGTCACATGCTGAATTCTCAGGCCCCTCAGATTTAGAAGGGTTTGGGAAGGGTCACTTTCAATTCATGCAGCTCTCACAAGTGTGATGGGCATGGGTTAAGGGTGCTTTCCTTACCATTTTCTTTCTTTTTTTTTTCCCTTACCATTTTAAAAAATTAAACATAACCTTGTGGACAGTGGTAGTGATACAACTGTCAAAAATGCACGAATGAAGCAATTTAAGTTGGGGAGAGCAAGTTAGTGTCTGCTTACTCAGCAAGTCATTAATTTTCCGTTTAAGATCAATCATCAGTACATTTGGAGGGCTAGCAAATACAGTGGGTGCTCCCTGTGGTGGGCACAGGGTGGCCGTACCTGGTAGCCTGGTATGTGGGGCGTGGCAGCTATAATTAGAACCCTTGGGGGAAGCGGTGCAGCCAACATCCTAGGAACAGGAGGGCTGCAAGATGCAAACTGCACTGATATTTTTCAAGGTTGAAAATAACAACACCTGGTTCAGAATTACTGAGGGGGGAGTCACACTCCCCATCATCCCTGGTCTCAGGAAACCGCGCGCTGGTGCTGACAGCACTTCAGGACCAAGGACAGAGCCCAGCAAGCCCCCTGGCCATCAAAATTTTTTCCAAAGAAAGGCAGAATCTCTTCACCCTTTAGACTGCTCTGGGGGGAGGCTGGAAAGGAGGGAAGGGAGGTGATACACTGAGAACCTGTGTTTATGAAATCTTGCCCTTCTTTCATCAACCAAACTCCTCTTAAAGAGAGTTCCTCAATCAGTGCACCCACTCCTTTTCTCATTCCTGTCTTCCCAGCGTGCTATTACACCCACTGCCCAGGAGCCTAGATCACAGCGTCCCTCACCCCCAAATGCCAAGAGAAGTCCAACAGGGTAGGACCCTCTGAACTTGGTCCCATGACACCAGTGAGGGCCCCATGTGATTGCTAGCCTTTGAAATTTATAGCCCAGCCCCATCAGGAGACCATAATTAGGTTAAATGGTTTAACTCAGGTTAAATGGCTTTCCCAAAAATACACAGTGAATAAGTGGAGGAGACATATTTAAAAAAGAAAACAAAACAGGGACACCTGGGTGGCTCAGTTGTTAAGCGTCTGCCTTCGGCTCGGGTCATGATCCCGGGGTCCTGGGATCGAGTCCCGCATCGGGCTCCCTGCTCCGCGGGAAGCCTGCTTCTCCCTCTTCCACTCCCCCTGCTTGTGTTCCCTCTCTTGCTGTGTCTCTGTCAAAAAAATAAATAAAATCTTTAAAAAATAAAACAAAACAGAAAGCTATGGCATATAAATTAAAAAAGGGCAAAGGTACAAAAAAGTCACACACTTAAGAATTTTTCTTTCTACCCAGACCCCCTCCCTGGACGAAAACCAACAAAACAATTTTCTTGCACAGTATGTCCTTCCAGAGAAATTCTAGGCATACAAGGATTTACGCATATATGTATATTATATATACATTATATGTATATTATATATATTATATATACATGGTTGTATGTATATGTGTATGATTTCCTCCCTCCTTTGGAGCTGGGATTTGAACCCAGACCCATAGCCTCTCAGGCTGCAGAAGCTGGGAGCTGAGCATATAGTTCTCACAACAAGGACATAGTTCAAGTTCTGTGAAGGTGCCAAGTGCATAGGGAAAGGGGAGAGCTGGGGGTCAACAGACTCAAAATAAAGTCCTCTTGTTTTTTTTTAAGATTTTATTTATTTATTTGACAGTGAGAGAGAACAAGTAGGGGGAGTGGCAGGCAGAGGGAGAGGGAGAACAGGCTTCCCTCTGAGCAGGGAGCCTGATGTGGGGCTCGATCCCAGGACCCTGTGATCATGAATTGAGCTGAAGGCAGACGCAACCGACTGAGCCATCCAGGCACCCCAAAAATAAAGTCCTCTTAAAAAAATTTATCAACTCAGCCAAGTTGTGCCATGTTATGGGCTCAGCTGGGACCTGCAGTGGATACAAAGTCACAAGTGTCACTGTGATGCTCACTGGGCAGGGACTCCATGTCTAGCTGAGCCTCTAAGTCTTTGGGGGTAATGTCAGTTGTGGAGGACATCATTTGTGGAGGTCAGGAAGACACAAAACTTTCACCTCTGCCTAGAGTGTGGCAACTTTTCTGCCTGCTCTGCTGGCATCCAGGCTCCCTCCCTTCTACCTTTCCTCCCTAGAGCAGTCAGAATATTTCCTAAAACCCATATAAGAGCAGGTCTCTCCCCTTCCTGAAGCCTTTCAGTGGCTCCCCATTTGCCACCAAGATAAAGTACAAATGCCTGGAGGGGGCTCAGAAGGCCCCCAGGACCCTTTCCCTTCTCTCCTCTTGAACCTTCCACCTAAGCCACTAGAAATGGCTTCACTTCAGCATGGCTGAGGTGGGGGCAAGTCCCCAAGAGCACCAGCTCTCAGATACCTCCAAGCCTCTGCATGCATCTGCACCTAGAATACCATCTCCACAATCTCCCCTTCTCCTCTTCGTGAATGTCCCACCATCTTTCCAAATTAATGCCCTAGGCACCCATCCAGTATATTTAATGTGTGTCTTTATATCTGCATCCTGGTAAAATCTTTATTCTTGTTTTGTATGCATGTATTTTTAATTTACACAAATGATGCTGTGTTACATAGCACATTCTGGTTCATACTTTCACCCACTCCATATTGTTTTTAAGAGCCTTCATGTGCTATGGTATCATCTGTTCAGTCCCTTGTAACTGCTCCATAGTCCTCCAGAGTGGGCACCTGCCCATGTTACCTCTCCACTCTCCCAGGCTCGACACCCAGACCGCCGCCATCTTCCCTCACCACAAACGACCCTGCAGTGAACAGCCTTTTCCATATTCCTTTGTGGATCTGTGATGATTTCTTTGGGATTTAACTCAAAAGCTCCAATTTCTGGCTCATAGGGTGCATATCTCTTTAACTTCACCCACCCATCCCAGCCTGCTTTCCAAATTGACTGCCTCAGCACGCACCTCTAGCTTCAGGGTGTTCATGGCCCCACACCCCGCCAACCTTCTCTGTTACCCAGCTTCTGCTTTTTGCCTATCCAATAAGTGTAAAGTGATAGCTGATTTAATTTTCACTTCACTGATTACTAATGAATTAGAGCATCTCTTTATTTGCTTGTTAACATTTTGGATATTCTCTTTTGTAAGTTGCCATTTATATCTTTCGCCATTCCCTATTGAATTTGCTACCTTTTTCTTGTTGACTTGACTATTTATATATTCTATCTATGAATCCTTGTTGCTTTTATATTTTTCATTGTTGGTTTTAAACATTGCAAATATCTCTGGTCTTCTTTCTATTCCTCAAACATGCCAAGCTCACGAGCCCTCAGGGCTTTTGTCCTTGCTGTTCGTTCTGCCTGTAATGCTCTTCTCCCAGATACTTGCAGGCAGGAGTCTCTGGATATCGTACTCTAAAATGTCACCTCCTCCTCCGCCCAAACATTGCCCGTTACATCACCTGCATTTGCTAGCATTGTGGCCTGTTCACTCATTGTTCACGTGCTTATTGTTTGTCTCCATATTAGCTGTGTATAAGTTCCAGGCACTCTTAAGTCACTGTTCAGCTTCAGTCCCTAGCACAGTGCCTGGCATACAGTAGTTCCTCAATAAACATCTGTCAAGTGAATGAATAAATACACTCCAGTCACACTGTGTGGGGTGAAGAGAGGTTTGAGGACAAGGCTAAGAGGGGTGTACTTCGAGTGATGCTTCAAATGATGATAAGAAGTTAACATTTAGTGAGTCTTCCCTATGTGCCAGGCACTGTGGAAAGCATTTTACATGGATTATCACCTTCCTTCTCATAATGACCCTTGGAGTTGGTATTCCTTTTATCTTATTTAGAGGTGAGGAACTGAGGTAGAAAGATAAAGGAAGGCACTCAAGGTCCCACAGCTTTCTAGGAAAAAAAACAAAAAACAAAAAACAGCTCCCAGGGAATGTCTGCAGAGTTAGGGTTCTTAACCACGACACACACTGCGGGGAAGGAGGCAGAGGTAAGGGAGGAAATGGGTGTGGCCAGGATGGAGCACCCTTGTAATTCCTTCCAGGGCGAGGTGGAAGCAGGAGGCAGGTAGGATAATGCCCTCCCTCATGTCCTATATGACACTAGTGAGGCCAGAGGGGTGTAAGTGACCAGGGCGTGGCCAGGCTCCCCGGGGGCACCGCCATTCCATCGTCCCTGTCCCACTTTCTTTCGGCAGGGACCGCGTGGCGCGCATCGGTTTGGGCGTGATCCTGAACTTGGCAAAAGAGCGGGAGCCGGTGGAGCTGGCGCGGAGCGTGGCCGGCATCTTGGAGCACATGTTCAAGCACTCGGAGGAGACGTGCCAGCGGCTGGTGGCGGCCGGTGGCCTGGACGCCGTGCTGTACTGGTGCCGCCGCACGGATCCGGCGCTGCTCCGCCACTGCGCGCTGGCGCTGGGCAACTGCGCGCTGCACGGGGGCCAGGCGGCGCAGCGGCGCATGGTGGAGAAGCGCGCCGCCGAGTGGCTCTTCCCGCTCGCCTTCTCCAAAGAGGACGAGCTGCTGCGGCTGCACGCCTGCCTCGCGGTGGCGGTGCTGGCAACCAACAAGGAGGTGGAGCGCCAGGTGGAGCGCTCCGGCACGCTGGCGCTCGTGGAGCCGCTCGTGGCCTCGCTGGACCCCGGCCGCTTCGCCCGCTGCCTGGTGGATGCCAGTGACACAAGCCAGGGCCGCGGGCCCGACGACCTGCAGCGCCTCGTGCCGCTACTCGACTCGTCGCGCTTGGAGGCGCAGTGCATCGGGGCTTTCTATCTGTGTGCGGAGGCTGCCATCAAGAGCCTGCAGGGCAAGACCAAGGTGGGTGTGGGGTGAGGGAGGGGGCAGGGGCTAGAGAGCATCTGGGAAGGCTTCCCAGAGGAAGTGACATTCACCTGGGACTTGAAGTACACATAAGAGTTAAGTGAAGCAAGGAGAAGGATGAGAGAGCAGTCATTGGCCTTGAAGGCAAGACCAAGGGTTTTAAGCAGGCAGCATGTGCTTTACAAAGATTACCCTGGCTGCAGTGTGGAGATGGAATTGGCAAGGGTGAGGATGGAGGCAAGGGGGCCAGATAGGAGGCCATGACGGGGACAGTTGGGAAGGGGGGCTGGAGCATGGCAGCAGGAGCAGCGAAAAGCAGACAGATCCCAGAGGTGCTGAAGAGATAGAATTAGGAATTGGTGGCTAGTTGGGTGAAGGAGAGGGAAGAGTTGAGGGTGACTCCTGGCTTTGGACACAGGCAACCCCATGGGTGCTGGCACCTGGTACTGAAATAAGGTTAACTGATGAGAGGTTGCAGTGGGGGAGGGGAAGAAAGTGAGTTCACTGGGACAGGTTGAGCTTGGGGTGCATGAACAGTGACCAGTTGGGGCACCCCAGTGGGCCATTTCATCATGTGGGTCTGGAGTACAGGAAGGAGATGAAGTGCAGAGACAGAGGCTTGGGGGGCAGGATGTCAGTGTGTTGACCAGATAACTCCCACCTGCATCCCAAGAGGTCCTCATGCCCAGGGCCTGATCTGAAGCTTTTGCCCTCAGCTTTAACTTGCTGTGTGACCTTGGCTAGCTGGCTTCCCCTTACTGGGCCTCTATATGCTTCCTTTTTAGCCTCTGGAAAATTGAAGAAGCAGGCCACAGCAGCCCGTTCTTACCCTGCATGTGGACCTAGTAATAGTTAAATGATCAAAAGTTTGTGGGTTTTGTTTTTTAAATATTACAGAATCAAGATTATCCCTATAACACCCCTCTCCCTCCTTTGCATTCTTCTGGGGGTCTGGGAGTTGGCGGACAGCTGGGACACAGGGAGTGGTGGGCACCAAATGGACCACCCTGGCTGTACCACAGCTGTCAGCTGGGCTGCTCAGAGGAGAGTGTCTCACAGATGATTGTCACCTATTGTATGTGTCCCCACAGATTAAAAAGAGACTGTTGGGTTAGGGGGTCTCTAAGGCCTCTTCCAAGGTCTAATGTCCTAGGAGCTTCTGATTTTCCCCTCAGTGCCCCAGAGTTGGGCCATGGGGGGACTGGCTTTATAAATCAGGTCATTCTGCTTTGGGAGAAAGGACTTGAAAGGAAGTAGGGAGTGAGGACAGTGTCTGGGCAGTAGCCATGACCACCAGCTGTGCCATCCCTTTTCCAACAAGACCAAGTGAATGCAGTTCAGGAAAGAGATAGTCAGCCCCCACTCTGTACCCTGCAGTGTGCCAGGTACAGGACTCCAAAGGTGACTAAAACATGACCTCAGCTTATCGTTTAGTGGACGCTGCATTATCAACAAACAACAGTGGCATTTAGAGTACAAGGCCTAATTGGAGGGAGGGGCCAAGCTGTGGGTAAATCAAAGCAGGCTGCATGGAGGGAGTGCTAATCAATTTGGATTCCACTGGATGACCCAGGATTCCCACAAGCAGGTTGGAAGAACTAAAGGTCTGGGAACACCATGACTGAGCCCAGAGGTAGGAGAGTCATAGTGGGTGGGTGTCAGCCAAGTGTGGGTTGGAGAAAGGGGAAGTGAGCTGAGAATGGTGGGCAGGGGCTGCACTGTGCCAGGGTGAGAGCTCAGACTTCATCCCAGGGAGATGGAAGCTGCTAGAGGGAAGACATGAGGGCAAGAGTTGAGAGAGTTTCAGGAGGGGGAATTCACAGAACTAGGTGATATATTGGATGAAGGCAGGGCAAGGGCAGACGATGGGAGTTTCAGCGGTGAGAAGAGGCAAGGGGAGGGACTGGGCACGTTTGGGGATGGCTGGTGAACTGGGGGACCCAAGACACCCTCTCCCCACCCCTCCCTAGGTATTCAGCGACATCGGAGCCATCCAGAGCCTGAAACGCTTGGTTTCCTACTCCACCAATGGCACCACGTCGGCGCTGGCCAAGCGCGCGCTGCGCCTGCTGGGCGAGGAGGTGCCGCGGCCCATCCTGCCCTGCGTGGCCAGCTGGAAGGAGGCGGAGGTCCAGACGTGGCTACAGCAGATCGGCTTCTCGCATTACTGCGAGAGCTTCCGGGTAGAGCAGCGCATGCCCAAGGCGCGCGGCCGCTAGGGGCGCCCTGAACAAGGCAACAGCGCCCCCTCGCGGCCAGCACACCCGCGGCGCCAGGGGTGATTTCGGGTGTGGGAGCCTCTACTCAACCACTTCTGGGGCCACTCGGCTCTAATCTGGGTCCCATCGCCATCTCCAGTTCCCTGTCCTTGCATCTTATGCTTGGGGTCCAACGGCTGAGGAGGAAAGCCCTTCCTTACATCTGACCCCTCCCCCAGGAGCAGCAGGTAGATGGCGACCTGCTTCTGCGGCTCACGGAGGAGGAGCTCCAGACCGACCTGGGCATGAAATCCAGCATCACCCGCAAAAGGTACGGAGCCCCCTTCCCGCCGGTCCTCGCCCTCTGCCACTAGCCAGTCCCACTCAGGACCTCAGCGTCCTCTTCTCCCCGGGCTGCAGATTCTTTAGGGAGCTCACGGAGCTCAAGACCTTCGCCAACTACGCTACGTGCGACCGCAGCAACCTGGCTGACTGGCTGGGCAGCCTGGACCCGCGCTTCCGCCAGTATACATACGGCCTGGTCAGCTGCGGCCTGGACCGCTCCCTGCTGCACCGCGTGTCCGAGCAGCAGCTCCTGGAGGACTGCGGCATCCGCCTGGGCGTGCATCGCCTGCGCATCCTCACAGCCGCCAGAGGTCAGCCCGCCCACCTGGGACCCCACCCCTGTCCTAGCCCCCAGCCCTGGGGGGGCGAGGGGAGACACGTGGTGGGGCCTCCGAGCCTCACTGAGGGTGGATTGAGCACAGATGCTGTGCCAGACTGGATTCTGAGGATGCAAAGAAGTTCCCCGTCTGAGCTGAGCAGGAGGGTGGAAGTAAGGCAGGTAGGTGATCACAGCAGGAGGCACGCCCAGGATTCCAGTGGGAGCTGAGAGGAAGCGCTGCCTACCCTGTCCACCCAGGTCTAGGCATTTACAGGACGCCTGACCAGGTCCTGAAGGATGTACTGGGGAGGAGGGTGCAGCAGGAAGAACAGCCCAGGCAGAGGGAGCAGTATATGCAGATGTCGAGGTTAGACAGCAAGGAGGGTGCTTGCTGGGGATAGGGGATAGGGGTGGGCAGACAGGGGGCTTATGCGCTTAGCCAACAGCTTACAAAGTGTGGGTCTGGAGGTGCTATAGGGCTGTCACTACGGCAGAATGGATTCTAGGGCTCTAGCAACCCTTTTTACTTACTTTTTAATTTAACTTTAATTTTAATTTGCTAATTGACTATTTTGCTAATATTGTCAATTACTGTATGTATTAAGTTTTAAACGTATTATCTCATTAATATCTATATCCATTCTATTCAGTGGGTGTTATTTTTTTTTAAGATTTTATTTATTTATTTGAGAGAGAGGGAGAGAGAGCATGAGCTGGGGTGGAGAGGCAGAGGATAAGCAGACTCACGGCTGAGCAGGGAGTCTGTGGTGGGGCTCAATCCCAGGACCCTGGGATCATGATTGAGCGGGAGGCAGACGCTCAACCAACTGAGCCATCCAGGTGCCCCTGGGTGTTAGTTTTTTTAATCAACTTTTATTTTATTTTATTATTTAATTTTTTTTGAAAGAGAGAAAGAGCACGAGCAAGCAAGGGGGGAGGGCCAGAGGGAGAGAGAGAATCGTCACGCAGACTCCCCACAGAGCACGGAGCCCGACTAGGGGCTCAGTCTCATGACCCTGAGATCATGACCTCAGCCAAAATCAAGAGTCAGACACTTAACCCACTGAGCCACCCGGGCGCCTTTCTATAATCTACTTTTTAAAAATTTTTAAGTAGTAAAAGAGGTATAACTTAAAAGTGTCCAATTTGAAGAGTTTTGAAAAATGCATACATGTTTAACTACCATCATAATCCAAGATGAAGAACATTTCCATCAAGAGTGTTCATTTTAAAGATGATGAAACTAAGTTTTAAAGAATTTAAATACACTTCCCAAGGTTATTCCTTGGGAAATCCCAAATACATATCCCAAAGCCATTAAATAACAACTAGGATTTGAACCTCTGTCTTTCTGCTTCATAAACAGACAAGGGCTGTCTGTGAGTGTTAAATCTGAATATTATATGAAGATGGATTCTTTTCTTTTCTTTTTTTTTTTTTTAAGATTTTATTTGACAGAGAGAGACACAGTGAGAGAGGGAACACAAACAGGGGGAGTGGGAGAGGGAGAAGCAGGCTTCCCCCTGAGCAGGGAGCCCGATGCGGGGCTCGATCCCAGGACCCTGGGATCATGACCTGAGCTGAAGGCAGACGCTTAACGACTGAGCCACCCAGGTGCTCCAGAAGATGGATTCTTTTCATTCAACAAGTTCAACCAAAGCAGATCAGCTTTCATTATTTTCACATTGCAGCTCCCAATAAAACCCCAAGATTTCATTTCTTAAAAACAGGGAGGGGCACCTGCATGGCTCAGGTTTGCATTCAGATTTCTCCTGCTCTGAATCCTTTCTGGAGTTCCAAATGGCACGGTTTCCTTCTGTGTTGCAGGCTGAGTCCTCTGGTATGGCTTTGGAGCCAAGCTTCTGGGGGTGGTTCCTCTCAGAACCCAGCCTAGGGTTAGGGTTAGGGCCCAGGAGCATGGACGGTCCGATCTATGGGCATTGTGGCGACCTTCCCGGAGGGCTGAGTTGAGGGCGTGGGTTAGGGTTAGGGATCCAGGGGGGATCATGACCTGGGCAAAGGCAGACGCCTAACTGACTGAGCCACCCAGGCGCCCCGCCATGCATATTTTTTAAGTGGAGGCAGTGACCCACTGAGACTTGGATTTTAGAAAGACCCCTCCAGTTGCTGTGCAAACAGGGTGGACTAGGCAAGTGTGGATTTGGGGAAACCGCTGAGAAGGCTGAGTTGGGGACCTGCACATAGGGAGGGCCCTGGGGCTGGAGTCCAGGATGTTTAATCGGAAGAATCCAGAGCACGGAGTCAGGTGTTACGAAGGTCTGTTCTGTTCACTGGCGTATCTCAAGCACAAAGGGTAGTGCCTGACACAGTAAGTACTTAGTAAATATGTGTGGAATGAATGAATGAGAGGTAGAGGTTCAGGCTAATACACAGGTTCTGGCTGTGGTAGGAACTAGGAAGGCAGGGGCCCGGGGAGGATTTGGGATGTGTTGGGTTTACAGTGTCTGTGGGCAGCTGCCCGTGCAGGTCTGGGGCTCCGGAGAGAGGGAGGGGCTGGAGGTGCAGATCCGGGTCCCTAAAACACAGTGCCTGCCTCTTGAGAGGGACACGCCAATAGGAAGCAGCCTTCCTTCCTGTAGGCCCAGCTCTCTATCTCAGTGACCCTCTTTTGGACAGGCCACCCTGCCTGGGCCAGGCTGGGTGGGCAGGGGATGATGTACCCTATGGTGAGTGAGGGGGAGGGGCTACCCTTACCAAGCTGTCCCCTTGTCTGCCTCAGAAATGCTACACTCCCCCCTGCCCTGCACTGGCGGCAAGCCCAGTGGGGACATCCCAGATGTCTTCATCAGCTACCGCCGGAACTCAGGCTCCCAGCTCGCCAGGTGAGAAGGGGTGGGCAGGCGGGTGGCCCGGGGCCTCAGCGCCGGGCCAGGGCAGTGACACGGGACCTCTTCCCAGCCTCCTGAAGGTGCATCTGCAGCTGCACGGCTTCAGTGTCTTCATTGATGTGGAGAAGCTGGAAGCGGGCAAGTTCGAGGACAAGCTCATCCAGAGTGTCATGGGTGCCCATAACTTTGTGCTGGTGCTGTCGGCCGGGGCCCTGGACAAGTGCATGCAGGACCATGAGTGCAAGGACTGGGTGCACAAGGTAGGTGCTGCCCTCTGTGGTCCCAGCACTGGCCTGTGGCCAGGGGTCAAGGTCCTCCTCCCCTTCCTTCTCATCTGCACTCCCCAGCAACCTCCGCGACCCAGCTTTGAGGCAAGAGCCACAGCTAGGACTGTAACTGGCCTTTAGCAAGTCGTTTAGGCTCTCTGGGGCTCAGTGTTCTCATTCAGAAAATGGGGATAACTTGTCTGTCTTATTCACCTGTGGGATGGTCGTGAGAGTCAGAAAAGGAGGAAAACGCTTTGACAAATAACCTCAGTGCGGGAACAGGGGCAAGATAGCCTAGCGACAGGTGCAGTGAGATCATGAAGGACACAATGCTGTGAGTTTGAATCCCAGCTCTGGCCTTGGGCAAGTTACATAACCGCAGTGAGCTTCATGTTTGCTACTGTAAAGTGGAAGAAGTATCATCCCTAACTCCCTAGGATATTGTTATAAGAATTAAAAGAGCTAAAACCTGTCAAGTCCTTAGCAGAAGGCCTCGTTCTGTAGTAATTGCTCTATAATGGTAGCATTTATTCTTGTAATCAGTGTGAGCGTTTACCACTGTTTAATTAATGCCATTGTATCTTAAGTGTCTGGCACACAGTAGAAACTTACTGAATACTTGCAGAATGGATGGATGGATGAAATGGGTCCATATCACATCTGCAGGTTATTAATTATTAATCAGTGAGGGATACAGCAGTCATCTGAGATGGAACTCTGTCCTGGAGCAGCTAAGGAAATAAGAGTATGCCCAGACGTGGCTAGTTCATATATGGTTTGGTGTCACTGCTAAGCTACGTAGGTGAACCTCTTACTTGCCATAGGAGCATGGAGAAGGGAGAGAATATTAAGGGCTGGAATAACCAGGGAAGGCTTTGTGGAGGAAGCAGAACTTGAGAAGAGTCTTAAGAATTTAGGTAAGTGGAAGAAAAGGCATCCCAGGCAGGGCGACTGCACGAGCGGAGGACAGAAGTGGGGATGAGGAAGGTGCATCACTGGTAATTGCTTACAGATGAAGAAGCTGAGGCTCAGAGAAGAATACTTTTTCCCCTGGCTGGTGTAGAAATCCGAAAAGCTGGGCTCTGAACTCTGTCGATCTGACTCCAAAGCCCATGCTCTTTCCCAGCACCTGACTGCCTTCCACGGCGCAGATCTGAGGGGGTGGGAGGGGAGGTGGTGGGATAGGGCAGGATTCAGCTGACACCAGAAATGATTGTCTGCATCTCTTCCCAATTCCCTGTCCAGGGACGTCATGTTGGTAGCTTGAGATCAGCCCTGGTGGGAATATTTACACAAAGGAAATTGGTAAACACTATAAATCAGGGTTTTATTTGTTTGGTTGGTTGGGGTTTTTTGCCCCCAGAGATTTATTTGTTAAACATTTGCCAGCAAACCACTGGGGCGCCTGGGTGGCACAGTCGGGTAAGCATCTGACTCTTGACTTTGGCTCAGGTCATGATCTCAGAGTCGTGAGATCTAGCCTCTTGCGTCGGGCTCCGCACTGGGCCTGGAGCCTATTTAAGATTCTTTCCCCTCCTCTCCCTCTGCCCCTCCCCACTGGCTCTCTCCCTCTTTAAAAAAAACAAACAAACGAAAAACTACAGAACCAGTTTGCAGGGTACCTAAAGGCTGGGAGAAGATTTGTGTTTAAAGCACTGGGAAAAGGGATCCCACAAGGGCAGTGAGTTGTAGGGAGAAGGCTCTGACACCAGAGTGCATCCAGACCCACCGTAGGGAAGAGGGTCAGGCCCTGGAAGCCATGTTTTAGGAGCTGAGTACTGGGCTCGGTTGGATGTTGGGCCAAAGAGACACCTGCAGGATCATGGTTGATGGCCCAGAGCAGGTGGCGGGTGGCCTTCTGGGATAAAGAGAGGAGTAGCTGAGCTCCATGCAAGATCAGACCTTGCTGTGTTCACTCTATATCCCAGATGCCTACAAGCATGCGTGGTACGAAGCAGGCTCTTGACAAGTTTATGGAATACTTGAACCAGTGACCAAACAGAGGAAGCTGAGATAACTGGGAAGGCCATACATGTCCACCAGGTTCACCAGGCCAGAACACTCGACTCGAATCCAAGTTTTCATTCTTAACCTGCTGGATGACCTTGAACAAGCCATTCTTCCTCTCTTGGCCAGATACTGAGTCTGTGCAATGAGCAGTGTGCAGTCTTTGGGTCTGTGTAATTCTGGATAAAACAAATGTCTAAAGGCTCTCAAATAAATTTGTGCAGGGTCAGAATTCATATACGTTCTCAGCAGAGAGGCAGAGGGCTTGGCTAAAAGAGCCCTGGGCTTGGAATCTAAAAGCTTGATTCAGAAGCCTGGCCCCTCTTGGGCTGAGCATTTGTGTGACTTGGGGGCAAGTCCCTTCCCCTCTCTGGGCTTCCTTCTTCTCATTCATAACATGAGAGGTTCCCCAAAAGCAATCAGTGCTGGAGTTATGTGGATTCTTTCCCCAGGAAGGCTCTGCTCCCCACGCGTGCTTGACGCCCATCCAGAGGGAGGAGGGGTGGCGGGAGCCTCTGCCTTGGACCAGTCCCAAAGGCTCCATCAGCCTTCCTTGATTGTTGTTAGTGCTTCATTGCCTCTGGTTTTAAAACTCCTTTCCCCGAAGCCACATTTGCTGGGTAATCAATATAGAAAACCACAAGTGAACTGCACTCAAGAAATCCCAATCCCTGAGGTTCCCCCCTTGAAAGGGAAAAAACATTCAATAAGCACTTACCAGAGCATCCATTAATAGTAAGTAATATCCTCAGAACCACCTTGTGAGGGAGGTTTATTATCTTTCTTTACAGAGGAGGAAATCATAACCCCTGTGATTGATTAAGCACACACTACATGCTGAGCGCTGCTTTAACCACTTGCCACGGGACATGGCAGGTATCCCCCCAACAGAAGAGAAAACAGAGGCTTTGAGGGCCTGTTGGTTGCCTGAGACCACAAAGCCTGTGTCAGAGATTCGATGTGAACCCCAGTCTCATGATTCCAGAGTGTAGCCCCTAACAGCTATGCTATGTTGTCTCTCCCATTCATTCATTCATTCATTCATTCATTCATTCATTCATTCCAACCATTCAGCCATCCAATTAAGTATTTGGCAAAGGCTGAGTATGGGCAAGGCTTTGTGAAAGATGCTGAGATACAAGGTGGATAAAAACCAGACATGATCCCTGTCTTTATGTCTGGTGGGGAAGACAGATATTAAGTAAATTACTCATTAAGTTTGCAACTGTAGCATGTGCTAAAGAGCCTGTGAGAGCCTACAATAGGGAGATCGTGCCTAGTCAGAGAAGGGAGTGGAGACTTCCATGGGAAAGTATGGATTGAGCTCAGATCAGAAAAATGAGTAGGGATTAGTTAGGTGAAGGGGCAGGGAAAAGCATGTGCAAAGGCCCTGTGCAGGGAGGGAGGATAGCAAATCTAAGCGGCTGCAGGGTCTGTGTGGCTGGGAGAATGGTGCAGGGTGGAGTCTGGGAAGGGAGCTGTGGCCAACCACACAGAGCCTTCAGACCACAGTAAGGAGTCTGAATTTTATTCTAAGAGCCATGTAAAGTCTTGAAGATTTTTAAGTAGGGGGTGACATGATCAGATTTGCATTTTGCAAAGAGCAGCCAGATGAAGGGGCAATGTAGAGGACAAGTTAGAGGGGGCAAGAGTGAATGGGGAGAGACTTGGGGGGGGGACAAAGATGGGGGGTTGGAGCAGCGCGGTGGTGGGGTGGAGGAAGAGACAAAGTGGGTGGATCTGAGAAATAAGGAGTACAACTGGCAGAGATGGTGATGGATCAGTTTGGATGCAAAGGGTGATGTTTTTCTTCTGATACCAAGCTGTGTGGGGTTTTGCTGACACCAACAACCAGTTCTCCAATTTGCCAACACCAACTGGGTGTCCCACAGTTCAATTCAGTTCTTTTTTTTTTTTTAGATTTACTTATTTGAGAGAGAGCAGGAGACCACATTGCGTGCCTGCGAGTGTGAGGGCGGGGCAGAGGGAGAAGCAGACTCCTCCCCGCTGAGGGCACACCCAACACGGGGCTTGATCTCAAGACCCTGAGATATGACCCGAGCTGAAACCAAGAGTCTGACACTTAACCGACAGAGCCACACAGATGCCCCCAGTTCAGTTCTGATACTGACTTACCCAGAGCGAGTGTCAGACTCCAGAGGGTTAAAGGCTCAGTCCCACGTGTCTGTGCTCACTTCAGATGCCTGAGAGTCCTGGGTTCCCAGGCTACCCGCACTTCTGTCTGACTTGGCTAGCAATTCAGGGGTTCCCATGACACAGACATCCCTCCCACCACCAGTTCAGTAATTGGCTAGAATGACCTGCAGTACTGAGAAAGCACTTAACTATTCCTGGTTCCCTGTAGGAACACTGGCTCACTCAGGCACATTGGAATGTAAGCCATGCATAGGGCAAAGGTTTGGGGCGTGGGGCACAGGCAGGGAGGCACAGAACTCCCATGCCCTCTGCAGGCCACCCTCCCAACACCTAGATGTGTTCACCAACCCACCCCATCCTTGGGGGACTTGATGGTGGTTTCATTATGGAGGCATGATGGAGTCATTGGCCACTGGTGAGTGAACTCAATCTCCAGCCCCTCTCCCCTCCTGGGAGGTGTGCGTCTGTGAATGTATGTGGGATACTTAAAATTTCCAACTTTTTCATCATAGCTTGGTCTTCCTGGCAAGCAGCCCCCATCCAGAAGCTACCTAGGCACCCCAATCCCCAACCTCCACCCATCCGGGGATTCCCAGTGTTTTCGGAGCTCTATGCCAAGGACTTGGGGCAAAAACCAAATATTTGATTTTTATTAAAAAAAACGGGGTGAGGGAGAAGTCAAAGTGGACTTCAGCACCAGCACCCCTCCCGGCATCTACCTGGCCCCAGGGTCCCTAGAGGGGGACCCAGGCCTCTTCCTCTCCCCTCGTTCTTTCTGCAGGAGATTGTGACTGCTTTGAGCTGCGGCAAGAACATTGTGCCGGTCATCGATGGCTTCGAGTGGCCAGAGCCCCAGGACCTGCCTGAGGACATGCAGGCTGTGCTCTCCTTCAATGGCATCAAGTGAGGAGAGGGGGGCGGGTGCACAGCCCCCAGCCAGCAGCTCCGCCCATGCAGCCCCCGGACCCACCAGCCCCTGTGCCCACAGGTGGTCCCACGAGTACCAGGAGGCCACGATTGAGAAGATCATCCGCTTCCTGCAGGGCCGCTCCTCTCGGGACTCATCTGCAGGCTCTGACACCAGTTTGGAGGGGGCCGCACCCATGGGCCCAACTTAACCAGTCCTTAGTTCCCAAGCCCTGCTGCGACCCACATTTCCATCGTCCGTCCCGAAGGAGCAGCTCCTCAAACTGGCCTCTCTCGGCTGCAACCGCCCGGGGCCCTTCTCTGGAAATGGCTGTCCCTCTGCCCCCTCCCTCACGGTCCACCTCAACCCAGCCTCCTTGGTGTCTAGAAATGGAAGGGAAGCCAGGCACTAGGGGTGCTCAGGGCCAGACCCGCCCCCTCCCCCCGGCCCTGCCACCAGGCTCTCTATCTCAGGTGTGGGAGAGACTCTGGAGATTGAGGGTTTGCCGCACACGACATCCCCTCCTGCCCAGAACGCGGCCAGGCAGCCTCCCTCTGACAGGAGTTCGGGCAATGCCCACCCCTCGGGGCTAAGCAAGGGCCTGGGCCCAGGAGCCAGCCGAAGATGGGGGTCCGGTGATGACTCTCCACCTAGATCGTGCCTGGCTTCTGGCCTCACCGCTTCCTGCCACCCTGTGGCCTTGACCTGTAACCACTGTGTCCTTAGCTGGCCTGGTCCCCAGTCCCCTCCCAGCCTTCCTGAGGTGCAGTCCTCTTGGCCACACCCGGGGTCAGGGTCACCCTCACTCCAGCCGGCCTGCAGCAGCTCTCCTCCGTGCAAGGGAGCCACCTGCTGGGGCCCGGGCCTGCTCAACAGGCAGCTCACCACCCTCCACATGCCTTGTTGCTGTGCCTCAGTTCCCACCAGCCTGGCTCAGCTGGCTTCCCCAGCCCCTCCCCACCCACTTGCTCAGGGGGCAGCCAGGGGAGGCAGCCCCCTGTGTCAGCAGCAGTCAGCTGGACAGAGCCTGCAGCAACACGGGAAGAGGCAGGATCCTGAAGAAGGGTGATGGGTGCGTTGGAATCACGGGGGAATTTTTCTAAAACTGCATTCAGGAGACCTGGGCAGGGCCTGGGTTTCTGCATTTCTCACAAATTCCCAGGTGAGTGCATGCGATGGTCAAGGAATGGTACTTTAACTAGTGAGGCTCTAAAACACAAATCCCTCCCAAATCTTTGCCATGCCCCCGGCCCCCCACACCACTCCAGGTTTCCTGCAATCACCTGAGCAACCCCACCCCGTATAATCTCCCTTGTATGGAGAAGGAACTGAATGACATGCCATTTCCCAAATCAGCATGGCCGCCCCGGGATCCAGACCTGGCCTCCTGGTGCTCAGTCCACTGCCTGTCCAGAGAAATCATCCTGGAAGCTGTGCCCTGGGCAGGGCTGTTGCTCTACCTGGCTGGCTTCTCTGCCCCAGGGCTCTGGCAGTGGGGGGCAGGTTTTCACCAAAAAAGGCTGGCCCAAGAGCTATACAAAAATAAACGAGCAGGAATGTCCCTCTGCTCCTTTCTCCACTCGGGTAAGAGCAGGGAAGTATCCTCCCTCCCATAAACCCAGGCTTCGGCTAATGGGGTCACCTGAGACCGCGCCCTGCTTTTTCCCTCCTGGGGACACTGGCCTGGCACCTCAGGCTGGCTCAGCTTCCAGAGTCACCTCCCGCAGGTGCTGGCTAGGTCACTCGTAGCTCTTGAGCCCGTGAGGGAGTCAGGGCATCGACAGTAACACTACAGTGGGATGAGTACCCTCCAGGGAAAGCTGTCTTTTGGTCCCCGCTCAGTCCCCCTCCTTCCTGAGGTGCCCAGAGCAGTATTCAGGGAGGCTGCCAGGCCGTTTCTTCTGTTCCTACACCCTCTACTGCTGCCCCTTCTTGTCTCTGGGGAATCGGAGCCCAGCCTCCAATCCTGAGGGGATGATTCCCTGACCCCCCACCCCCAGCCAGGCTTGGCCCCACAGGGCTGGTCCTGAACCAGGGCTGAGAAACAGCCTTTCCCCCAGAGCCTGGTCTGACGCAGGCCTGCAGGGTCAGGGGTTTCTGCCTGGCTGGGCTGTAGTTGCTGCCCCCAGGTGGGGGCTCAGTCAGCTAGGTCCCTACCCACCTCACCCCAGCCATCCCCAGGGACTAAGGACTGCTCAGGGACACCCAGAGCTCAGGAAGTCCAGCTCCCAACTTCTTCATTCTCCCCTGCCCAGGAAGAGAGGCATCTCATTCTAGAATGTATGAGGTGGGAAGGGTCTCAAAATGTCATCTAATCCAGTGTTTCCTAACTCGTCCACCTGTGGTCAGACAGTTTGGGGCACTGCTGACGTAGCCCTTCGTAGGAGGGCTTGCTCAAGGTCACAAGCGAGCCAGAGGCAGTGCCCAGAGTAGAGCCCAGGCCTTTTCCCCGACCCTCCTCACTGCCTCATGCTGGGACAGTCGGTGGAAGAACTGTATTCCTCTCCTTGCTTTGGCCTCCCTCCCCATGAGACAGTGAGCTGGGAATGTGGCAACAGGCCCAGGCTGCAGAGGCCACAGTTGACCCCACTCTGCCCTGCACCGTCCCCATCGCACCTGTGTGATTTCCGGGGCAGGGGAGAGAGAAGGAGGGTGGCAGGGAGCCAAGCCCTGTGGCCAATTCACGTCTGCAGGCAAGTGCCACCTGATTTGGGTCTGTGTGGGGGCTTGCAGCCCTCATCAAAGCTGGTGCCTTAATACTGAATCCAGTTCCGCCTTTCAGCTTCTGGGCCAGGCTTTCCTGACAGCCTGGAAAAGGGACCCTCGTTCTCCGAGAAGCCGGTCCCCTGGATCATATTGGGGAGTCACGCCCCTCTCCGGTTCCTGTTGAGCTACAGATGCAGGAGGATGGTCTCAGCACATGGCCCTGCTGAAATGCGTGGCAACGGGAGCGCTGGAGGGCTGAGTAGTAACAAAAACTGATCATACTTGGGCTGGTGGAGCCAGGTTGACCCGTAAGGTGCCTTCAGGGAATGGATCGCTGACAGACCCTCACAGGCTCTGCCCCCAATCTCTCCACTGGCCTAATGCCAGCCCGGCAACCCTCCAGCCCCGTCCAGCAGCTCAGGAGAAGGGGGTGAGCAGTCAGACGAGGCACGGACCAGCCATGCCCGGCACAATCCCATGGTAACTCAGGGGGCTCCTGCCCAGCCCGGAAGCTTGCTTTCTGACCTCTGGTGGGCAGACTGGGAACAGGAAAGCAGACAGCCCCACAGCCCCATGCCTTGGGGGCCTGGAAGGTTCACTTCAGTGTGATTTATATGGATTTATTGTGATGGCACTGCTAAGCTCAGAGGATCGATTCCCAGCACTCTCCCTCCAGAGGGCACCCAGCCGCTCCCACAGCCTTCCCCTCAGAACCACATCCATTGCTGAGGAGCCGCTGGTGGCTGCACACCAGAAATGGCCCAGTGAGCTGTACAGTTTGGGTTGAAGCAGAGATGCCAGCCCTCGTGCTTCAGCTGGTCCCTGAGGTGCCCCTCCATCGGGACCTCTCTGCTCCCCTGGAGGGTTCTCTGTGACCGATGGTAGAAAGGGTACACCGACCCCTGTTCCAAACGGCCCCCCCCACTGCCTCCTGGAGTAGGACTTTCTGGGTACAATTCTAGATTAGAGTCCTAGGCTAGCACAGCCGTCTAGCTGGACTGCTCTGTCCAAGGTAGACACGTGCCCTCGGAGGGGAGGCGCCAGGGTCGCTGCGGGCTGGGATCGAGATACACACTTTCAGTTGCTTGGTGTTTGCTTTGCTCCCTTTGCCCTCTGTCCTCCGGTCCAGGCAGATCAGGGGCTCTGAGGAAACTGCTGGAATTCAGGGCGAGGATTAGCCTTTTCCAGCACCCTGTGAGAGAGACCAGAGAAAGAGTTCAGATTTGACATGGAGAGACACCCTCAACTCTTAGAGATGGCACACAGGCTTTATCGGGTGGGCTGGTACAGGTATTCCCTCCCAAAGCTGAGAGGTGGAAGACAAGGCAATGTCCAGAGACAGAGGGCTCTGGAGAGCAACTCTTAAGGCTACAGGGGAAGAAGTCAGTAGGTCAGGCTAGCCTGGGGCCCAGCCGAAACTAGCTGAGGAAGCTCTCCAGGCTTCCCTTTAGCACATTTCTGCCACCATACTTCCATCTGCAAAATGGGAATGGAGGAGGAGGGGAGCCGAGGGAGAGAGCACAGCCTTGCCAGCAAGCAGTGGTACCCTGACTGAAGCTTCCCCTAGTGCCCCTCTGCCCTGCCCTTGGGAAATGGCTCCCAGATGACTAGGCAGCTGTCCACAATGGGGTTCCAGGTATGAATTCTGGTTGGGAGGAGGAGAAAGAGGGAACCTTTGGATAAAGGGCATTATGATCATGGGTCAGAGCCCTGCATTACCCAATCAGAATGGCCGGGATGAAGAGGAGGCCAGCTCCCAGGAGGAAGGGGAACCCCTTCATGAAGTTCAGGGTGGCTGGGTAGAGTGAGTTGAAGATGCCAGAAGCCATCAGCATGGCCAAGCTATTGACGCAGGCCACAGCAGAAAAGAGAGCACCTGTGAAGAAATAAACATCACACTCTGGGGTGTGAAAGACCTAGATTCAAATCCCAGCACCCCTAGCTCACCGCTGTGTGACCTGGGGCAAGTCACTTAACCTCTCTGAGTCTCACCTTCCTCAACGATAAATCCTACATCGTGTGTTGTGATAAGGATTCAATGAGGTCCTGCATGGAGAGCAGCTGGCACACAGGGGCCACCAAACAGATGGCTGTTACTAAATCCATGTATTCAAAGTATATGTGATATCTTCTACCAAAAGCCCGATAAAATGGGTTTTGGTTTATCCCCTTTGGGAATCATCTTCTGTTTGGGATTAACTGCTGGCTTAATTCCCAGTTCCAACACTTATTATCTGTGTGATCACTGAATAAGTTGCTTATCCTTCTGGGTTTCTGTCCCCCTTCTGTTAAACAAGAATAACACCTATTTCATAGATTGGCAGCAACAGTAAATTCACATGTAAAGCATCCATCACAGGCCCTGGCCCCCTGAAGGTAGTCAGTTAGGGCTGTTCTTTTCTCTGGTTCCCCCTTGGGGAACCTCTCTGGGTACAGTGCGATAATAAATCCATATAAATCACACTGAAGTGAACCTTCCAGGCCCCCAACCTCCAGCCCTTGGGGCCTCTCTCGGTACAGTGAAGGTGCTAGAAAAAAAGCTTACTGAGTGAACGAATGAAGGTACATGGGTTCTGGGGGGCAACAGAACGAATCCTTAATGGGCTACCTATGGCACCGGATCCTCCTTCCAGGGCAGATGGGGGGAAAATGGATGAGCCAGATATTTCCAGACTAGGATCTAAAGACGCAGAGGCCTGAGAAGCTATTCCTTAAAGATATGCCAGCAGAACCCAAATTTTGCAAAATGAGCAACAACCCAACAGAAGTTGAGTTTGAACTCTGTCAGAGTGTCAGAGCTGAAGGGCCTTGTCATCAAGAGCAAACCACTCATGTTACAGAGGAGGAAACAGGTGCAGAGACAGAAAGGGACCTGCCAAGATCACACAGCCAGTGGGTGACAGAGCCAGGACCAAAACCCGTATCCCCAGACCTGCTGCTCTTAAAAACAGAGCTGGGTTTGCATCCTAGCTCCACCACTTACTGAGGGACCTTGGGTGACCCGATTTAACCCTCTGGGTCTCTGCTTCTCGTCTGTCACTTGGGGACAAGGAAATATCTAAAGGTTGTTTGCTTCCTCTGAGCTTGCACACTGGCCCTAGTGAAGCAGGGAACTCTGCATCCATTTTACAGATGGAAAAGCTGAGGTCTGGAGAGAGAAATCCTGTGCTCAGGTTACCCAAGAGAACAAGTGTGCCCTGCTGACTGCAAATTCCAACCCAGTGATCTGAAAATCCAAGGCACTGTAGTCCTCTGCCAGCCCTAAGCAATGTGACAGAAGTGCATTTGTCTTGGCTACTAACTTCTCTGGGGTGGGAGGGAGAAAGGTAAGCTGCCTCCTGGCTCCCAGCTGCTCTCTGCCCAGTTCAGGCAACACTGGGTATGAGGAACCAGATGCAGGTTGACCCTGGCACTCACCCTGCTCTGACTCGCCCACCAGCCTGGAGAGCTTGGCCCGGATGATGGGTGTGGTGACTAATGACAGGAACAGGAGCCCATACCCTGCAGAGAAAGAAACAATCAAGAACATGGGGTCAGGGAGAGGGGTGCCCAAGCATCCCCCATAGCAGAGCTCCTATACATACACAGCCCATGTGGGACTCAGGTTGGACACAGGAAGAGCTTCCTTATTGGTGAAGGAGACAATGACCAAGGAGGGATGGAGACCACCTTTCTCAAGGCTTGACCTACCAGCTACCTCTTTCATGAATGAATGCTGATTTCCCTCCAATTATGTTGTCAGAACACCTCTTGTGGCCACAGCGGGCACCACCCACTCACCTTGCGCTTCGAAGGGTGCAAGGCACAGAAAACAAGCATGGGCTTTGGAGTTGGCCCTGAGCTCCTAACCTGACGCCATTGCTTACTAACCGTGTGGCCTTGGACGTGACTCCTGTCTATGAAAGGGTAACAAAGCCTTCCTCACAGGATGGTTCTGGGGTGTGCAGGAGGCTGAATAACGGTCCCCCTAAGATATCAGGTCATGATACCTGCAATTTGTAAATGTTGCCTTATTTGGAAAATGGGTCTTTGAAGATGTGATTAAGGATCTTGCGATGAAAAAAAAAAAAAAAAAAAAGGATCTTGCGATGAGGTGATTTTCCTGGACCAGATTGGGCCCTAAATGCAATCACACGAATCCTTAGAAGAGGGAAATGGAGGGAGATGTGACAGATGTGACAGAACAGAGAAGGCACACAGAAGACGAAAAGGCATGTCACCACAGAGGCTAGAGATTAGGGTGACAGTGGCCACAAGCCACGGAATGCTGGCAGCCGCGGGAAGCTGGAAGAGGTGAGAGAGATTCCCTCCCTGATCCTCCAAAGACAGCATGGCCCTGCTGACCCCTTGACTGGGGCCCAGTGATCCAGAGACTTCACTTCTGGCCTCCAGAGCTGTGAGAGAATACATTTCCATTGTTGTAAGCCATCCAGTTGGTGTTCATTTGTTACAGCATCCCTGGGAAGTGAATACATGCGGTAACATCTGTGCAGAGCACAAAGTTAATGCAAGTTCCTTTTCTCTTTGCATTTGTTACTCACAGGCGTACAAGGTTTCTTTCATAACAGTTTCTCTCCCTTGTGTGACTGTTGCCTCCTAGAGGACAGTGGATCCTCGGAAGTGGGTACATGAGGCAACCCAGCTGAGTTAAGACATCTGTGATTACGGATCAGCTGACTTTGTAAACAACATATTTTAGGACTCTATCAAAATTAATCTGTCCCTTTAAAAAGTTAACTTCCTCATTCCTAGCCACCACTCTCCCACCAAAGAAAGAAGAAGGGGGAGGAGGAGGGAGGGGAAGAAGAGGGAGAAGAGAAGGAGGAAGGGGAGGAGGGGAAGGGAGGAAGGGGAGGAAGAAGAAGAAGAACTAAGGCAGGAAGGAATTTGGTATCTGTGGTCTGAGAAGACTAGCTTTTTTAAAAAACTCCAAGAAGCTGACCAAGGATATTTGAGGTAGGGCCTGTGATTCTTCTCAGTGAAGTGAATATTAAGGTATTAGTGGCATGGACTTTGTTTAAGAACACCATAAATACTGGCTGTGGGAGGCTAACAAGTGAAGCAATTAGTGTATGAGCCATACTTGTGTCTTTTGCTCTACCTTACTAACGATGTTTATCATTGACAACGTGGATTAATTACTAAGGTTACTGAAGGTCTGTCTTTTCTGTTTAACAAAGATGGCATTTTTATGAAGTTTCTTAGTTGTCTGTCCTCCAGTGCAGGCTAGGAGCCTAATAATGTTTCTAGACACAGGTACGAACCACATTTAGGGGCAGTGAGTGTCTGACCCCCAATTTTCACCCAGCACCTTTGGGACAAACTGTCCCTGAGCCCACACACTTTACCTGTAAACATGAGGGGAGTGATGGTAGCGAACGCAAAAACCACCATCCCCAGAATGTTGAAGGCCAGGCCAATCTCGGCCACCCAGGTGTCAGCCAGGCAGTGCTGCAGAAGCCGCAGGCCCAGCAGGCTGGTGAGGTAGGGGAGGTGCTGAGCGGCAGAACCATAGCCGATCAGCTTGGAGTCCCAGCAGAGGGGTTTGCTCAGCTCGTAGAGGGTCAGGATGTCCTGGGCCCCAAAGTGCACAGTGACTACCATGAAGATGGCCAATGAATACAGGGCTAAATGCTTCCTGGACTTCTCTGGGGCCGGATTCACGTACAGCTGGACAATGGATCGGTGGTGACGGAGGGTGAAGAGCCGGGCAGGCGTTGGCTCCTTCACCGTCTCACCAAAGCAGAAGGCTGCGTAGAGAGCCATGGCTATCAACAAGGCCAAGGCCAGCCAGAAGGGGTTGGCATAACCCTGGGCCCGGAGCCAGAGGCCCCCAAGAAGGCTGGCCAGCATCCCTGCCACCCCGATGCAGGCTTCCAGCAGGGCCATTCGAATGGTGCGGCTGCGGTTGGAGCTGACATCTGCCACGGAGGCAAAGCTTGCAGCCAGAAGGCCACTGAAGTCCCCAAGGAGAGCGCAAAGGATGCGGCCCAGCACGAAGTAGCCGACGTGGAGCTGCAGCTGCACCACGAAGATGGACACCAGCGCCTGCAGCAACAGGCCCAGGGAGGCCAGCACCAGCAGTGGGCGGCGGCCCACGCAGTCACTCCAGGCGCCCAGCAGGGTGGATGAGAAGAGCCCCACCAGGAAGCCGCCCATGTTCATGTAGAGGGTCCAGTGGGAGGTAAGGGTCTCCACTTCCTGTGGGGACATGAATCTTAACCAGGTTCCTCACTCTGGATTGCCCACCCCGCAAACCATCACCATCCTGGGAGATACAGGGGTGGGAACTACCTTTGGAGCCCTAACCCTCAGAGAATCTTGGTAAAACTCTCAAAAAACTGGCCCTGGGATAAAGGGAATTTACCACGGTCCCATTCCCTTACTCTTACTCCCTTTTGTTAATCCTCACGGCCTCGCTTTACCTAGAGGCACTTTAAGCATCCCCCACTCTGCAGTGGTCCCTCAAGCCCCAACTTTGCTCTGGCCCCGCCCACTACCCAAAATCCAGCGGGCACTCTCCCCGACGCAGGCCCCGCCCCCTCGGCTGCCCCCTCGCCTGCCCCCGCGCTTCCGCCGGGGGCCCGCCGGGGGCCCGCCCGGTGCCCCCCCCCGCGATTCTCGCGCGCCCCTACCTTCATGATGGGGTCCGCGCTGTGGTTGCTGCAGCTGCCCCTGTCGCGGGTACCATTGTAGCCGAGGTCGGCACTGAAGCGGTGCCACAAGTATTGCGTGGTGAGCGGGCCCTGCAGGACCAAAGCGAAGTTGGCGAGGAAGACGAGCGGCTCCACGGGGCCGCGGCACAGCACAGCAGCCCCGCGGCGTGCGCGGGCGTCGTTCAGGGGGCTCGCGCGCCCCTCCATGCGCGTGCGCGTCAGGCTTTGCGCGAGACGGCTGGCTGGGCTGCCTGCGCCTGCGCCTGCGCCCAACGTCCCCTTTTTAAAAAAGTCTGGCGGGGCGGAGCCGCTGTCCCCCGCACTCTCGCCCCGCCCGCTCTGGGCTGGTGAGGGCGGGAGAGGGGCCCCACACCCCTGGCTCCCTGGCTCCCTGGCTCCCTGAGTAACCTCACCTGCAATCTGTGCAGGGATATCGCCCTGCAGCCCTATTTTCCAGGCCCAGAAACGCTCCAAACGATAACAAAAATATCAGTAATTAAGATTTATTGATCATTTGCCGTGTGCCAGGCACTGTACTAAACTCCGCGTGCATTATCTTCCTACGGCTAGCCATTATTAATGGTCACGGTCTACAGATGAGGAAGTGAGGACATGGGACGCTCAAGGTGGAGCCCTAAAACCCCTGACCTCTGATGCCCATGCTGATGTTCTGCGCTGCAGCAGAGGCAACTCAGAGGGGCTGGGCGCAGCCTCAAGCTCTCCTGCTTTGGTTCTGTTACCTAGGCCCTGCTACGACCTTGGGCATGGCACTTATCCCCTGTGCCCCGTTTCTTCATCTTTAGAATGAAGATGCTAATTGAGCCTGCCTCAAAGAGTTGCCGTGGAAGAAGAGTTCCTGGTACATTCTAAATGCTGTTATTGTTATTACTAGGCCGTCACTTGCTCCATTCCTGCCGTGGGATCTTTGCCTGGGAAACTGGTCTTGTGTCAGAGGCTCAGGGCTGGCTCTGCCATTGGGGGAGCAGAGGAAGAGAAGTTAGAGGAGGGCCTGGGAGGCCATCGGGTGTGGCCCTATGCTCCAGGTGCTCCTACTGTAGGAACTGGGCCAGAAGGCAGTCACACCTCCTGTCTGGGCATGTTTTATTGCCTGTAAAAGGGAAAAACATTACCTGCCTTTCTCTCTTATCATTTACTCACTCAGCCCATTTCTTGAGCACCCCTTATATGTTAGGGACTATGCTGGGGGTGCTCCAAGAACGCCTTTACCAGGCCCTGTAGTTTTTAGAATGGTGGGGGAGACACGTCAAAGAATCCTACTAATCTCCAAAAGAGTTCAACTGTAGAAAGAGCTTTAAAGGAGAGGAGCTGTGGAAATCCAAGTCTGCTCATTCGGGGGCCTGACCAGGTCTAGGAGGGGCAGGACCAAAAAAGGCCACCTTCCCTGACAATAACACAGCTGAATGGATTTCTGGAGGCAAGCTTTGTGCCATGACCCACAGGCCTGAATTTTGGGGTGGTGGAGCTCCATTTTTGGCTACTATGATTGTGTGTGGGTTTGTTGCTGGCTTATTGACCATTCCCCACCTCCCCTGAGCCAGAAAGGGTCTTAGGCTCACAATAGGTAGATGCTGGCTAGGTACTGGTGGACTGAATGAGGCCTGCACCCCCCCCCCCGACCCCGGCCAGAACCATTACCACCCTGTGGTCATCCTAGAGGTAGGAAATCCCACATTAAACATACAAGCCCCCTGGGTTGGCTCCCTCTCCTCCCCCCTACCTACACAAAAGCTTGGCCCAGTTATGTCAGCTGCAGGAAGGGAAGGGTTCCTAGCTGAAACTATATTGTTCTTTACTGGAGAACTAAGAAGGAGAGACATAAGGCCAAGTTCCCTCAGCTGGGAATGGGACAGGGTGTAGCCCATTCCAGAGGTGGAGCCTGTGGTGCTTACTAGACCAGAGGCTGCCTCTTCTTCTTCTTCTTTCTTCTTTCTCCTTTTAAAATTTATTTATTTGAGAGAGAGAGAGAGAACATGAGCAGGGTGAGGGACAGAGGGAGAGAGAGAATCCCAAGCAGACTCCCTGCTGAGATCATGACCCTGAGATCATGAGCTGAAATCCAGAGTCCCATGCTTAACCGACTGAGCCACCCAGGCACCCCTAGACCAGAGGCCTCTTCTAATTCCTTTAAAACCTAGCTACAATCAGTTCACTGCTCTGCACAGGATCATCCGTGGTTTCCATTTCATTCAGTAAAAGCCACATCATTAAGAGGGCCCTAAGGCCATGTGCCCTCTCTGACCCTTTCCCTACACCATCTCATGTGCTCCTTTGCTCTAGCCATCCTGGCCTCCTTGCTCCTTCAATTGGTCCAGGAGGCTCCTGCCCCTAGGTCTTTGCATTTGCTCTTCCCTCTACCTGAAATGCTCTTCTACCAGATATCCATGTGACTGGCTTCCTCACTTCATTCACACCTCTGCTGAAACATCACCTGAGCCTTTTAGATATAATAGGAACTCCCATCCCCCCATCTCCTGGCACTCCCTAACCCCTTACCTCGTTTATTCTTTCCATAGTTATTTGCACTATCTGAATTATTATAACTTTTTGGTTTCTTTGTTGTCCATCTCTCCTTACTAGAAGTGATGGCAGGGGCTTTATTTTCTTTGCTACTGTATCCCCAGCACCTAGAATAATGCCCAGCACAGGGTAGATGCTTAGAAGGTGTTAGTTGAATGAATAAATGAGTTCCTCAAGGAGAAAGGAGCCCCAGTGCACATGGAGAGGATTGACAGTGTCAAGCTACACTGTAGAGTCCAGAGTCCAGGAATCTACACCTAGAAGGAAGCCTAGAGATCATATCTTTGCCTACCCGCCCTTTTAAAAGGTGAGGAGGGGTGCCTGGGTGGTGCATTTGGTTTCGGCTCAAGTTGTGATCTCAGGGTCGTGAGATCAAGCCCTGTGTCGGGCTCCGTGCTCAGCGCAGAGTCTGCTCAAGACTGTGTCTCCCGGGGCGCCTGGGTGGCTCAGTTGGTTAAGCGACTGCCTTCGGCTCAGGTCATGATCCTGGAGTCCCTGGATCGAGTCCCGCATCAGTCTCCCTGCTCGGCAGGGAGTCTGCTTCTCCCTCTGACCCTCCCCCCTCTCATGTGCTCTCTCTCATTCTCTCTCAAATAAATAAAT